ATTTTCATTTTTACTATATTGAATGTGTGTAGTTCACTTGACCATGTGTAGTACGTATCTAAAATGAGAAAAAGAAAATGAGAAACAAAAATTGGCTCTATATATAATTTTATATTTAGTACTATTAACTTTCATTGACTTTTTTTCGTAAATTATTTTTTTTCAAGTTGACGATTGAACCTATAAAAAATAATTTATTTTCATGGTTATTAACCGAACCGAACCGCACCGAACAGAGATATAAACCGAACCGAACCGAACCGAACCGACTTTCGTGGTTATGGTGCGGTTATGGTTTTGGCCGAACCGACCCCGAACCGAACCGTTGTCATCCCTATTTTCAACCTCATATTGAGACCCATTTTTGATATAGAAAACAATCTAATTGGAAGATGATATATGAAGAAACATTGTAGCCCTTTGAGTTAGGTTTCTAACGCATCTTGAATCGTCTCAATCGGATTTCATGAGAGAAAGATATGACCAAAATACTGAAAGCTATCCGGTGGAAAATTGGCAAAACTATGCGGTCGCATAGTGCAATTTCCATGCGGTCGCAAAAAGAGTTTCAAGGAACTCCAGTGCCATTTTCAATTGTTCTATGCGATCGCAAGCTTCTAAACCATGCGGTCGCATGGTTCATTCCCGACACAAAAATTCCGATTTCCGAATTTAAGTCAACTGCCCATGGAAACAACTATAAATACATATTTTAAAATCTTAGAACACAACTATAACGTACAGAACTCCTCCAAACTCCATTCTTCATTATTTTTCTTAGATTCATGAATTGTAACTAAACTTTTATACTTGGTCAAAGGAAACAGAAGCCTTGGAACCACATATTGTGAGATTTAAATAATTTTTCTTATTGTTTGATTTATATTTTGCGTACTGAATGTTCTTCTGTATTTATTTCTATGTTTGTTGCGTTTAATTGCTAGAGGACCCGCTAGTTTATTGATTGTAACAACCTACCGCTAAGTTAAACATCAAATCCGTAATTGTTTGATCCCTTTAACTTGTGAAGCACTAGGAT